TAAATTATTTTGGCAAAATTGAACAGGAAACTAAATTTGTGTCGGACAACATGTCAATTATTCCTGAAAACAACATATTTAATTAAACAAAATTCCAGTACTAATTGTATTTTCTCAGAGTGCATGTGTATATGCCACAAGTATTTGCACAATTTTTGTCTGTTTCCCCAGTCTCCTCCTCTCAAGATTGTAATGCATTTACCAGGGGGCACAAAACTTTTTACCCAGCTCTCGATGCAAATGTGTGAGCTCTCCCGTGCGTCCTGAATTATTTATTCTCCCTGCACTCTATATGCACAAGTCAGAGTTGTCTAAGCATAAATAAAGTAGAAAAAAAAAATAAATAAATGGGAGAACAAATTCAAGTTTTCCTGGACTGTCGAATGCATCATGACTCTTGAACATTTGAACACTGGTCAAATTCGGTTGGGGGTGTTGTGAACAATTAGAAGAAGTGTCACTTCAGCACACCCCTTGAAACACGAAAAAAAAAACAACAATACTAACAATGGAAAAACAAAGTTAAAAGAAGTGAGTCACTGGCAAACACCCTTGTCTGCGATCAGGGAACAGTAAAATGGTACAATTTATGGTTTGTTTCGGGTTGTTTCAGGCGTTGTTATAGCGCTGGGTGTGCGTCGTTATGATTCATAACTAAACAAGAACAACCAAAAAACTTCTCGACAACATCCCCGGAAACAATTTGCGGCACACGAACACGAGGCGTTTACAAAAGTTTAATTTTACTCACTTTTTGTGGACGGTGGTTTTTTCGTCGGCAAATGTTCACAAAAACTTGGAATTTTTTTTTTTTTTGTTGTTTCATTACAGAATTTATGGTTATATTTTCAGAATTTAAATGCAGACAATTTGTGGGTGTGTACTAATAGAGTTACAAAATGTAATTTAATTTATAGTAAAGTGATGGAAATTTTTAAATGTATTTTTAACCAAGTATGAAGTGTATTATTGTAGGTTTGTTTTCAAGATATTTCTATTCAACTTAATTGCTTCTTCGGCACGTACGGAAATTAGATTTAGGCATGACACACAAAATTAAGGATGATGAACCTCTTCACACATTAAATATACATGTTCAGTCCAATTTGGAGAGCTCCTCCATCACTAAATGCCCCACTGACACCCATCCATTATTGTAGCCTTCGCTTCTTCACATACAAGACACATTTTCCCGAGCAGCTGTTGCTGCGTCTGCTGTTTTTCACGTAAATTATGGCAAAAATTTAATTATTGCATTGGCCGCTCTACTTTACTTTGCCCGCCAGGACGAAGGCCGAAGGACGCAGGGTGGGGATCGGAGCAGCCCGACTAACATAGTTCCTTAGCCGGAGGCAGCAACAAAAACGATAACAACAAAAGTTGTATGTCGAAAAGTGCGCTACTAAAACAATTAGCAAGTCTCCGAGCGGGGCTATAATTAAAACAACAATGGGGATAGGGGAGTGGGGCACTTCCTTCTTATGTGGGGCTGCCTTTGATTGATGATGCAAAAGCAGCTAAAGCCGAAGCTAAGGCCCCGGCTCGCCCCTTGAAGTATGCAACATATACTCGTAAGGAGCTTGCAAAGGCGTTGAAGGGACCCGCACTTTTGGGTGGTTTTTCTGCGGGTGGGAGTGGGTGGTGCAGGCTCTGAGAGCCTTTGTTTTGTTTTTGACCCGCCAGCAACTACAGCGAACTATGCAGTGCCACAAGCAACTACAAAAGAAATTGGTGGCAGAAGTTTAGTAAGCAAAGAGAAGTGGCAATACTCTTAGTTTATTCTTATTATTTAGAAGATAATATTACAATATTTATAATATTAAACAAATAAAAAGTATTAACACAAGAAATTAAATTGTTTTATAATATTTCTAACTATATCATGTATATTGGGCTTTCAATATTTTCTTTAATATAGGTTTTGAAATTGGTTTCCATTTATAAAAACTAACCAATTTTATCCATTACTTAGTCATTCTTATTTCCTCTATGATATCAGCTTTATACCCACTTTAGTTAGAGATGCCCAAGAGGTAGCCAAGCAAATGTGTATTATTATATACATACACATGCTCAAGATCCCCCCACTCTATATCGCTCAGTCAGCCAAAAGGAAAAGAAAATGTTTAAGGAAATTGCAGCAAATATTTTGCTTGTTAAGTGAAACCCAGTTTGGCGAAACGTTTTCCCAGCAATTTCTTCAGGCATTTCGACAACGTCTTGGTCCTTGGTCCTTGGTCGTGGATCCCCCGACTGGATTTTAGTTGCTTACTCCAGAAAACCATCGCCCTTTTCCAGCAGGCAGCACTATTTGATGCATTTTGCATAAGCGCTGGGCAAATGCCTTTGCTGCTTTGCTGCTTTTATGCAAATTTCTAGCATTTTCCATGTCGTTACATTCTTCGTCGTGTTTTAGTTTCGCCCGTAAATGCAAGTATACATTTATGTATGCACATATGTGAGTGCAACTTTCCTTGGCATGCAATTAAAACTAAATTAGTAGGCCTCTGGGCCACATCTGCTCGGTTGCAATCGCTGCTGTTGGCGAATTTGCTCTGTTTACTAATTGAATTATTTAGCTGCAAGTCGCAAAAGTTTGTTTTTTTTTTCTGGGGGGGCAATGTTGTTCTCAAACAAACTGGAAAATGAAGCGTAATCAAAACAAAGGACCTCCACCCTCGTCGAACCCTTTTTTTAGGTGTTGAACATCACCGCAGGGCACAAACCGCACAAGCCAACTTTGGTCCTGTCGTGGTCCTTGTGCCTGGTCAGCAAAGATATGCACAAACCGGAGTAACAGCACAAAAAATACCAAAAAAATTATGTCCATGGTTGAGCAACTTTCCGTTGTGAACACGCCCTGAACGCCTCCCATTCCATTGTTTTTTTTTGGGCAACCCCACATGCGACATTTAACCCTCGAATTGTGCTCGGCGGACACATTGAATGCTTACACTTGGTCACGAGTTGTGTTCCCATTGCTCAGGGATTTGTTGTAGAAAATATATAAATGAAGAAAAAACATTTTGTTACGTGCTTAAGTAATATAATAAATTTCCGCCTTTGGAGTGTGGTAAAATCTGCATGAGAAAGGGGTAAATAATAAAGATACACTTCTATGCAATACCACAATACAATTTATGCAATATCTACATTTATTTTTAAAATTACTGATAACACATTTCTTCCTTTAAAAACTTTTCCCTTTGGTTTGCATTTAGATTTTTCTAGTTTTTTTTTGCTCCCTCACTGTTTGGTATTTGCACTTTTTTCCTGACTTTGCATGTTGATTTTTCGACTGCCATAACTCCCTTTTCTTTTTCATTCCCAGTCCACTTCAGTGTTTTATTTTCATTTTCGTTGTTGAAATAACATTGACATGCCGTCTTGCTGGTTGACCCCTGTTTCCCCATTTCCCTTCCTCACCCTTTTCGCCACCCATGTGGGGGTGGAAAGTCCTGGCGGGTGGACATGCAACACGTCTACGCTTTCCCCCTCGAATATTTTCTGTTTCTGTGAACTCCGATCCGAAATTCGATTTCCAGCTTGCGACTTGGTGCAACGTCTGCTCGCTTTGTTGTTTTTCGCTCTGGATGACATGCAACTTTTGCCCCAAGCTGTTTGTTGCCGTCGTTGTCGTTGTCGTGTTGCAATCGACAACAAACTGGAAGAGCAACAAATGTTGCCTCGACTGCCTTTTATTAAATAACGTTTCAATATTCCAACGTTTTCTGACATATCAATTTTCACGCGGCGTGGCCTGCATAGATATATAAAGTCGTGCACTGAGAAAAAAAGCTCCATTTAATAATAAAATTTTATAGTTATAATATAGTCAGTTGATATTTTATTCTAATAGGAAATTTAAATTAAGTTTATGGATTATCTATATTTCTACCTTTTTTTTTGTTTAGTGAAATTTAAAGTTTGTGATATTTTCAGTGCATCACAAATATATATTTATAGATTTCAGCGGCGATATGAATAAAGTTTTGCATCTTGTTCCGTTTGCTCTCGCCCCTTCTGCGTTTTGGCGTGTGTTTGTGGGTGACAGCAAATTGTTTAGATATGGCATGAAAATTGAAATTTATGTCTTTGCCATTGACAGATTGCTCGCAGCAAATACCCGAGAATTGGTCTGCGGTTAGCAAATAAAGATTGTGCGATAGCGCAAGTGTTCCTGAATCGTCGATGGGGTGTTAAGCATTGAAAGCAAGTGGAAAATGGAATTTCGGGCTTTTGTGGGGGTGAAAAATGCAGTCGAAAACTGCCATTGATTCAAGCAATTGCGATTGGGGAACGGAGAGCCATTTGTAGATTAACCGAGATTTAAAAATAAGAAATGAAAATTTGATATAACCTCTGCCGAAGTCAAGCCAACAATAAGTTGCTCTTTTATCGGTTTAAATTCTCTTCTGAAATCTTATCTGTTTTCCATTTAATTTTCATTTTTAAGCAGGCAGGCAGGGAAATAACAAAAGACTATGCTAATCCATGGCTTATCTAACCTATGAACCCAACCCTTTTTTACCTTTTCCACCCAGTTAATTTCCCAACGTTAGCATTATGCAAAATAAAACAAAAAGGGGTAAAATGTACAGTGAAAAAACTACTTAGCTGCTAAGCTGCTGGGTCCTTTGCCGCATATGCAAATCTAAACAAATTAATTCCGAACTGAATCCTTTGTGCGGGAAGAACTCCTCCCCGGAATTTTCCCCCGCATTTGCTGCAGTTTCAACTGCAACTTCATTTGCAACGTCAACGGCAATGCGCATTAACATTGTTTTCATTTGCCAACGAGCGCTTTGCTTTTTTCTCTTATTTTAAATTTTTTCGTTTCTTTTCGCATTTGAACAAACCGCTGACGATGATGATGACGTCGCCGTTGACTGACGCAGCGGAAAACGGAAGGACCCGTGACCCCGAACCCACTCCAATCCGCGCCATTTTTATATTTCACATTTCTTTCAACGTCTCCCATCTTCACCCTTTTATTTCAGGTTCGCATCCGCCGCGGATAGTGGAGCATCCCATAGATACGACAGTGCCGCGACACGAGCCAGCCACGCTTAATTGCAAAGCCGAGGGCAGTCCCACGCCCACAATCCAGTGGTATAAGGATGGAGTCCCCCCTCAAGATCCTGCCGGGCTCCCACCGCATAACCCTGCCAGCTGGCGGATTGTTTTTCCTCAAGGTAAGCAGCCAAGATTGCGCGGGAGTGGAAAATTGAAAAGGTTAAGTGAAGTCGAGCGGTACTTGGAAATCGAAATGCTTTTGCAAATAAAAAACATTCAAAATTAAAATTGTTTCTGAAAATATACAAATGATTTTTAATGATTTTATTATACATATTGCTAAATGATTAAAATAGTTAACTTACAGTATTTATAGCTTATGAATTTTTTTTCCAACTACAAAATAGCATCATACCTTATAACGTTTGTAATCAAATTTAAAAAAAACCGGAGTTTAAAGTTGTAATTTCGGTGAAGGTTGATTTTTTCCCCCTGCTCATGAAATATTTTTCTAAGTTTCCCGATTTTGGCCAATAGGGGACCTTCTTCTAGAGGTCCACAGGCTATAACTTTGCCATTTTTAGTCAGATTCCAAAGTGGCATACCTCTAAATATTTGTAATCGCATCCTTGAAGAAACTGCATTCAAAATTTTAAGTTCATGTTGGATTTTTCCAAGTTTCTGATGATAACTTAAAACTGTAAATATTAAAATTTTAATTTTCGTAGTTTCTTCCTTGGGAAACATATTTTTAAGGCTTATTTTCAAAACCAAAAAGTTTGCGGTGTACCTATAATATTTTTTCCCAGCTTCCATTACCTTCAACAGTTTGTCCTCTTGTTTTATTTGCATGCATAATTATTATTTCAGTTCCATGCTCTTCGTTCATAATGAATGAGACAATGGAGCTGGGTGAAAGGAGAGATCCTGGAAGTTGCTTAAAAAATATTCATTTCGCCCGGCCATCTGTTGAGTGACGAACAAACTAATTGCTTTTATTTTAAACTTCCCTTCACCCCCCGTCAGTTTTTTCGGTTCGTATCATTTGGCGGCGGACAGCAAAAATATTTTTGCAGAAAAATTCTTTGGTCGACGTCGGCGGTGGGCAACAACTTCATTAACGCAAGGTAAACAAACATTAAGCGGGGAAATGTGGAAAAACTGGGCGAAAGTATGAGAAAAGCAGTGGCGCAAAGAGAAAGCGACAGACAGACAAATAAAGACGTAACGGAAGCCAACAGAAGCGGAGCCAGCAAAAGTCAGCTGCAGCCTGATGAGCTCTGATTGCGAGAAAGCGAGATAGTCGAGCACTGAGAGAAATTTAGAGATATAATTAGAATTTACAGGAATTTAATATATTTTTAAATGAAAATTTGTCTTGCTGATAGAGAACCATTTCTATAGTTCTTCTCTAGATTTCTCTCTTTTAAGGAAGTTAATTAGATATATTTCTCTCAGTGTAGGAAGTATGAGTGACTGCTACGAGTGACTCCCTGGCTCGGCATGGACTCTCCACAGAGCTGAGCAGAGCACTCAGCAAATTTACGACGCAAAAAGCCAACGGGAGCCGCGTTGATTATGCTGATGATGCAGTTGGAATCGCAGTCTCAATTGCGTGGGATGGGGATTTGCGCTGGGCCGGGTGAGGATTCAGAATTCAGGACTCAGGAACAGGGAGACGGGACTCAACGGGAGCACTCTGAGCTTGCCACTTTTCACACTCGATCTGCCTGGGCGCGTCTGGGCGCTTATGCCACTGTATTTGTACTTGCCGCATGCCACTGTATTTGTTTATCACTTAAGTGCAAAAAGGGATTTGAGCATTTTGCTCTGATGTTGCCACTGGCATTTCCAGACTCCGGCTTCCGCTGATGCCGGCGAAATGTCTCTATGCCATCTTTTTTGTGGCGCTCTTCTAACGACTTTTAAATGAATTAATTCCACGGGTGTCCTGGCACCATATCCTGCCTTCTAATGTGTCCTTTTCCTGCGCGGCGTTAGTATGAATGGAAATTTCTGGGAAATTTGTCAGCTCTTTCTTTTGGTACTTCCTAATGCCAAGGGCAGAATGTTGGCGCTGCCATTTAAACCACTAAATTATTTTTAAGCAACATTAAATCATTTTAAAGAGTAAACTGTAGGGCAGGCCTACACAACTTAATAACTTTATTTCCGGTCCCTGACCTATCTTTTTTGTTTTATTTACAACTGTTCCCGCATGTAAAACTCTCCGAAAATGTTCCACCAACTCAAGGCACAAATATATTTCACATCACATCATTGCTCCCCAGAGGCATAATTTAAATTCTAATTCCGGCAGCTTTTCCCACTCCGCCGAAAGGGACAATTCATCTTACTTATAAGTGCCAGACCACTTCGAAGGCAACTTCAACCAGACATTATTGCTATAACGACGGACCAGCAGAAAGTCCAGTTTGCCACACTATCAAATGTAGGGCCCAAACTCACAGAAAGAGATGAAAACAAAATCCCTCTTTAATTTAAGGGGAGAAAAGAAAGTTTTCCTGCTTTTTTTCGGGGGCCTTTAAGTGCTAAAGGGAAACGGACTAGAGTAGAGAAAATGTACAAGCGAATAGGGAATTTGCAATAAAATACTAAAGCATGTACAATGTGTGTATTTGTGGGAGTAGGAGTTTTGGCCCAAAAAAAAAAAAGAAGCGACGAGCTAGAAGCGAAGTGAAAAGTGACATGGAGGAGCGAGCGATGGGAAGACAGACAATAATTTACGTAACTGCACGACAGGAAAGTAAGGGGGAAAAAAAAAAACAGAATCGAAGGCAAGACGTGGGGCACACACACACTCTCGCACTAGAAACAAATGTCTGCGTGTGTGTGTCCAAGGCTTTGTATATGTGAGCAGCACTTTTACCACTCATCTGGTGGGAAAATCCTTAAAGGTGGCATTGGTGCTGAGCTAGTGAAAAAACATTCTTAAAAGTATTTTATGTGGTAAATAAACTTATGATATTATATTATATTATTATAATTATGATATTATTTACACGACTCTATAGTTTTTTCATACTTTTTATATTTTATTTTCAAGTTATTTTAAAATTTTTAAAGTATAAAATCCCATTTTAGCCCTGAACGTAGTAGTATTTCAAGCTGCTTTACAGTCACTCATCTCCAAAGTCATTAGATGGAGAGACATCCTTCTTTTTCACGTCCTTGACTAAAGTTACCCTAGCTCTATATTTGCTCTGTCTGCCTCTCAAGTACTTGCATGCAATGCGTTCCCTTTCTGTCGGTCTCCTCGTTTTCCTTCCCTTTTCCACACCTCTTTGCCACCCTTAACGTTTATTTAAATGTCTGCCGGATTTGGCCATAGTTTCGGCCCTCTAAGAAGCGCTTATCCTTCGCCAGCGGGAACCTTAAAAGGCAATCAACTGGCGGAGGGCGGGCGAATAAATCAAAGAGTGGCTTTGGAGCCGGGCTGATTGCATTTTCGAGCTGCGGCCCGGCAACATCTTAATTAAAAAGCAGTCGAGGCTCAAAAGTTAATGCCTGCTTCCCTCCGCCCTTTTCGGTGAAAATAACTTTATGCACTTTACTGTACAGTGAGCACATTTTAATGAGTTTACAAACGCTCGACACATTCGCAGCGCCATAAAAATCTCTCTCTCTATATATGCACATAAATAAATAAATACAGGGCTTAAGTTGAGTGGTGTTGGGACCAACACTGCGTATGAGTTATGTTTTTATGAACGTGGCAACGATTTTCCCATCATGCTTTTTTTTTCCAGGTGCCTCAGGGCTGTTTATTAACTGAAGGTGTGAGTGAAAAATGCTTTTGAGCCGCGTTTAATGAATGAGCGGAAGGAAAATGGGGTGATGGGGGGAAAACAGGGCTTAAGAAATCCTCCTGGATGATTGAATTAGTCAGGGGAGAAGGGCAGAGGTTAAAATGAGAGGAAGGAAGGCGTATTTTTAATGAGGAGATTACCAGGGAAGTGGGGATAAAGCTTGAGTGATGCAGGACTTATTAAAAGGAATAACCAAGAAGTATACTGTTTTTCATTATGATTTTTTAATGGTGTTTCCGCTCTTTTTAAACGAATATGTGGAAGTAAATACTAAGCTACACACTTTAATATTTAATGATGTATTACTAATATAAAAGAGATTGTTTAGGAATTACAAATAGTATGTATTATCAAAAAACACACCCCAATATAGCCTGTTGATTGATCCACCTGTTCCACTTTCCAAATTGAAAGGGAAAGCGTTCTAACCAAAACTCTACCCATTCAGCCATTGTGCAGATTTGCCTAATTCCACTTCGTTTCAGACTCGTTTTCAGGCTCAATTAAAACAATTTACACGTCGCATTTTACACGAGCTTTAAAATTTAAACCAAATTATAAAACACTCAAGAGTTAGAGGGGGAAAAGCACGCACAAAAAACGACAATCAGAGAGTGCGAGCGGGGCAGCGAGACTCAGGTCATCTCTTTCTGGCACACGCACCAGACAATTACGAAATGTTACAACATGAAAACGGGAATGGCTCCCAAATGAAATGTTTGAAAATTTATGGGTATTTTAAATTAAAACGGAAGCGTGTTTTCAGCGCGTTCCTCCAGCAGAGTCGCACCAATACAGAGACACTGCGGCAGTCACACAGATACAGCCAATATATTTTATAGCTTCCCCCTTGTCACCCCAAGCCCCCTGGAAAGAGATTCCCCACCATAAAGTTGCACGTAGCACACGGCAAATATTTTTCCCCAGCTGCTCTCGCTGCGCGCTGCTGTTTTTTGCTCTTTGGTGTCAAATCAGTTTCAATGTTTGCACGCACAACAAAAACAGCAAAAACAACAACAACAAAAACAAAACAACGAAATGCGAAAGGAGAAATAATAACAACAATAAATATAAGCTACCAATTCGCAGCGAATCGCCTGGCTCAAGTCATTAAAGATATAAATAAATTTATGTGACTTTTGGCAATGTTTTCTTCGTTTTCTTCTTGTATACTTGTATTGTTTTTCCTTTTTTCCGGCTTACAAGGCAGTTGCTTGCCAAATCCAAATTAAATTTTCAGCAACAGAAATGTTCAAGGGGAAAAACTTGAAGAGGGAAAGCACAAAAGCACAGTGCGTTTCAAAAGTGTTAGGTATTTTCGAGGAAAATTTAATTTAAATAAGAATTTTAACCACCTTAATTTTCTGAAACGGACTTTAAACATTTCTTGCTCTTCTGCTCAACGGTTGTCATTGCAACGAATTCTGTTTTAATTTTATTTCTTTCTGTTGGAAAGTATAGTGAAGACGGCTCCTGGGATAAAGCCTTAGTTGCTCTTCTCCCCTTGTAATTCATTTCAATTTTTAATAGGAATCCGCCCTGTGCCTAGCTAATGAGCTTAGCTCCGGCTTACCTTTCCCGGGACCACGTTGCGTATGCTGAATATTCAGCTCGCCAGTTGATGATAGAGCAAAACGGATGGAAATGGGTCAGTGGTAATGGTTAGATTGAGTTGGTTAAGTTTCTCTAGTTGGGTTATCAAAGCTGACAAAGCTGGCTAAAAGTAAAAGTTCAGGCGGAAAGTAAGATTTCACTTTAACCTGACCTGATTGCAAGGCAAAAAGATTAAAAATACTGTTGCCTACTTTTCAGATGAAAGTTGGTTTTTGGTGGTTAGGGGTTTTTAAGGAAGAAAAAAGATTAAAGTTTTAAAGTTAAAAAGTCTGATAAACAAAACTTTTCTAACTCTTTAAAACATATCTTCTGAGATGCAAGGGATACGACCTCAATATCTTTTTGTTGATTAAGCAACAGCATAAGAGTACCATATTAAAGTTTTTACTATTAGTTTGTGCTGCGTAATCTTGAAGCCTTTGAGATGTTCTATCTGCTGTTTTTGTTTTTCCCCTCCGAATCGCCGTTCTGTTCGCTTTCTCCCAGTTACCCGCACACATATGATGCACGACAATCGAGGAGCCTGAGGCGCTTCAACTTATTTGTTTTATAAAGCGCACCCGCGGCTCAGGACTCAGAATTCAGAACTCAGAACTCAGGACTCCAGGACCCATTGATGGCATGTGTGTGTACAGCTGGCGAGGAAAGATTAAATGAAAGAATAATACAGCTGAAGAACCCTTTTGTCATCTTCACTTAGCGCAACACTTAATTTCACTTGGATGAGGCACAAGTTGTGTAAATTGTGCGAACTTTGTTGCCGCTGCTGCTTTCTCATTTTCTCCTGCTGCAAGGAGCAGATAAATATGGCACACACAAACACACACACACACACGAACAGACACATATACAAATGCACACCCACACAAACACACTTAGTTTGACATTTAATTTTAAGCGCATGTTGGGGAATTCTTTTGTGCTCCGAAAAACAAATAAACAAACAGTGTAGACAACAAACACAAAAGGGGAAGGGCTCCAAATGAAGGCAGCTCATGGAGCAAAAGAGATAGCCAGCGGATTCGAGCGAGATAGCACGACATGTAGTAACTATAAAGTTGCTCGAGAGACATTTTATGATTTGAGCACTTGAAGGCAGCAGACGCGCAACAGACAACAGATTGCCGTCTGTTTTATGGCCTCCAAGAGCCAAGGGGTTCAAGGATGCGGGGTTGGAAGCCCTTCCATTCTTTAAGGAGGAAAAATGCGGGTCCTGAAGAGCCAGCAAATCAACGTCTTAGGGAGATCTGGCTTCCGTATTTCCCAGCTCCTTGCCAGTTGCCATTTGTGAAATTACAAATAGGATGAGTTGTTCAGGAAAAGGGAACAGGAAGTACAGAAAAGGAAATTCAAAATGCAGAACGAAAATATTTTTATTATATCTAAAAATAATTTATCCAATTTAATTATAACCAGAGCCATAAATAAAGCATACCTCATTTCTAAATTATGGTTCTTCGACCCCCCGCAAAAATCATTTCCATTTACTAATAAAACTTGCTCATTTCAATTAAAATTACTCACTTTTTGTGAGTACCCCTGCCAAACATTTTTTCCCCATCTTGTCTTCAGTACTTAACTCATTCTAATGCCACCAACCTTTTTCTCCTCCACATCTTTTTGCAGGTTGTCAATTCACGTCGTGAAACAGATGCCGGCATCTATTGGTGTGAGGCGAAGAACGAACTGGGCGTGGCAAGGAGTCGAAATGCCACGTTGCAAGTGGCGGGTAAGTCAGCTCAAATCCACAGCTCCCCAATGCCCTAACACAGAGAAAAAAAAGTTCAAGCTACCAAAATATATTTTCAAGAGGAACTTAGGGAACAGAAAAGGGAAAAATTCAGTTAAGTGGGTACTAAAGAACGTAATTATTAAAAAAAAAGTAATTTAAAGCATTTGTTGAAGTGAATAACTCGCTAAACCTTCGAGTAATTTCAATTTATTGCTGTGTATCCACACACCTCCCTTTGAATCGTGTGGTGTGCGTTTTTAATATTCTAAATTGATGTTGATTTTTGCTGTGGCTGTTGATGTTCTTGCTACTGTTGTTGTTGTTGTTGGTTGTGGAGTGGGGGAAATGGGGGCGTACTAGCTTTGCCCTTTTCCCGGCCAGCAGCCCAAAACACCCGCCCACTTAACTAACTAGCTGTGGAGCTGCTGCGTTTACAAGTTTTACGCTCGAACGCACCCACTTGTCTTGCCAGAGTTCCCTCTCCCTCTCTTCCTCTCACTCTCCGTCTCGCTCGCCCGTTCTATTGCCATCTCTCTCGGCACGCTCTATTGCCGCCTCCATTAACCCGTTTTCATTTCAGCTCTTCCGTTTTTTTCCTTCTGTTTTGGCCATTTTTTGCAGCTATTTTTTGGCTTTTGAAGCCTTTTTAGCCTGGCCTGATGGCCCAAAATGGCGAGTGGGCGAGAAATATTTGGTGTGTGTGTGCCGGATTTATTGGACCATATGCCCAAAAAAGACTGTGGTTAGCAATTTCCGAGTTGGGACAGGTCCGAAATGAATTCTGATGGCCTATGTCATGGGTTAATGCGTGGCCAAACAGAAGCTAGATTTAATTAAAAACGGCTTACGGTTTCTGATATTCAAGTTTAAAACAAGATTTAGGAGAGCCATTTCCAACTAAATGGTTTGTTTAATTTAAATTCAATCCAAAAAATACAGTACAAAAATAAGAAAATTAAATTCAAAATTATTTTAGATATAAAAATACAATTTCGGGGATTTCATTTTGGTTCCAAAATCTGTTTCGATACTTTTCCTCAACTGTTGCCATTAAACATCAAGCACAAGGAGCCGGAGGGAAAGTGGTTCTGATCCCGAAACCACCCACTTTCTCCCACCACAACCACCATCACCAATGCGGCAAAGACCGCCACTTTGTCTTTTGTTGGCTAATATTTCTTTTATTTGCCTCTGCCTTTTCATTCCTGTATGTCGGTCTGTTTGTCCGCCCGGCTGTCATGTCCTGTATCTCCTCCCACATGAAAATCGATATTGCTCAGTGTGGAGTTTATTCTGCCTTCATGTTGGATTCCTGTTTTTTTTTCCTGTTATATTTCCCGCTCGCCTCCTTTTCGAGTTATGTTTAGCCTTAGCTGCCGAGTTGGGTTTGCTTTTTGCGGTATATCCTTGGGGAATATTTTTCAATATTTGCATGTAAATCACGAAAAGCACGTCAAATTTGTTTGCTTGGTTAAAACGTCGTTATTGCGGCTTGCGGTGTGGGCCAAACGAGGGAAACTTGGCGAAGGCAAAAGGCGTTCACATTGATTGGGTTAGGCAATAAAAGAGCCAACTGCCAAAGGAAAAACCAGAAAGGAGCAGAAGGAGCAGGAACAGGACCTCAAATCGTAGGCAGGCACACTTGTTCACGTGCTTTTCTCCACTTTTTTTTTTTGTATTCCTGAGGTCGGGAGTTTGTCAATAGTAAACATAAGTTGCACATTGTGGGCATATAAGTATACACATTTGATGTTGTCAGCGCAATTTCGCTTTGAGCGCTGTCAACACACACGAAGCCTTTGACCTGATATTAAAGGACTTCTTTCCAGGCTTAAAAGGTAGGTGGAAGACATACTAAACAGCATGAATTAGAAAATTGTAGGGGAATTGTTTCCGCCATTTTCGCATTCATATCTATAATTTGGAAAAGGCTTTACTTGCTGGAATTATAGCTATTGAAAGCTGACAAAGCGGGAAATGATTGAAGGTCTTGTAAGCATATTATTAATGTGGCTCGGAAATATTAATATATAATTTTAGTTAAAGAGAAAAGTCAGTAAAACTTTTAGTTAGATAATATTCAAATTATGGGCGAACCAACACCTTTAATAATCCAATGAAGTAATAATTAGTAATCGCCAAATAAGTTCCTCTTATTGGCGTCTTAATTATGCCAGAACAGTCTGTTCATTAGCTTAAATTGATCACGTCGCTGACTTGAAGTAGCATCCTATCATAAATCTCGCCGCAAACAGAAACACACATAATGCGGCCATGATAAATATAGATAAACGGTCATTTATTAACTCATTATCAGCAGCTGTCCGAATCCGGTCGCTGGAAGCGTTTTGCACCTTTGGAGCGGAGACTTTTCCGCTTTGGTGAGCCCGTGACCCGTGACCCCTGACCCCACAGGATCCCAGGAGCCACAGGAGCCACGGGAGCCACAGGAGGAATACGGCAACCGACAAGGACGAGGCCTACACAACTTTTGCCCAATGGCACTGAACCTGACACTGATTATGACTTTGATTAATTTATTGATGGTTGGCGTGTTTCCTGCTGTGTGTGCTTTCCATTTTTTTTCCCCGACTTTTGCTCTGCGTTCTATTAAAAGTTTGCCACGACTTTAATGGAGCCTCCGTGGGTGTGTTGAAGTTGGCTTCCCCTCTTTGATTCGGGCTGATTTATTGCGCTTCAACTTTAAATTTAATAAAAGTCATGGTTTTAGCACATTTTTGCATAACCAAGACAGCCAAACTAAACCCAAGCAGAAACAAAATCTCGACCGAGAAAAAGAGCACCCCGAAAAATGTAAAAGAATTCGCTTATTCACTTTGTAGATTAAAAAAAAAAAAAAAAACGCAAAAGCAAATTTAATTTACGTAAAAGCTGCTTTCGCTATGGATTTGTTCGTTGAACATCCTGCTCACACATATATATAAAATATTTTTTCGTTGCACAAAAGGTTTGCTTTTGAGGGCAAACGAGAAGAGCCGAAAAAAGTGTAGAAATTCACTTCGCTACGCTTTTCAAGTGCTTGAAAGTTGCTTGATTTATTACACCGGAGTTGAGCTGCCGTTTGCCTTTCCCCAAAACTCGGTTCTGTGATATGCACACAGGACAAATAGAGCTCTGAGGTGTGTGCAAATTACGGCGTCCCCTCTGACCACGCACACAAAGAACGATAAGGACGGCAGAACCATCTGAATTATCCAGCGCTCCACGCTTTTGTCGCTCCAAATCTGCGACTGCTAAAGCAAAATGTTGATAACACTCTGATTTACTATGCGAAAGGCAGATGGCAAAACAGAAAGCGTTTCGGAAGCAAATGCAACCAGCATTTCAAGAGAAAAGTTGTTGAAAGTAATGGCATAAAATGGAAAAGATTTTATACATAAAACATTTCAAGTGACCGTTTCAGTGGTTTAAAAATATATCCCATATATCGGCCTCCATTATCGAACATAATTGAATTAGCCTAAAAGCTGCGTACGAATCGATGCCCCGATGGAATTTTTTACAAATTAGAGGGCCATCTTTCACCGCCTTGTGGCGTATAAAAATCACATTTATGCCATTTACCAACAATTTATCTTTGCTGTCAGGCCGCAAACACGTAAGGAAAGAGGGATGGCCAGGGGTCATTGGTTTCTGGGGAGCAGGAGGGACAAAAGACACCGACGTGGGGCATTTATCATGCAAAAACCCCCGGATAATTTATAACCTCAGCCAAGTGGACAGGGGCCAAGCCACATACACTCACACACTCGCTCCGTAATAATCATTTGCTCATCTTTCAACCGACTTTCCTCGCTTTCCCCACTTTCTCCACTCTCCAGTTCTCCGCGATGAGTTCCGCCTGGAGCCGCAGAACACACGGATCGCCCAGGGCGATACCGCCCTCCTCGAGTGCGCCGCTCCGCGGGGAATCCCCGAGCCAACGGTCACCTGGAAGAAGGGCGGACAGAAATTGGATTTGGAGGGCTCGAAGCGCATACGCATCGTTGACGGCGGCAATTTGGCCATCCAGGATGCCCGCCAGACTGACGAGGGTCAATACCAGTGCATAGCCAAGAATCCTGTCGGTGTGCGCGAGTCCTCGCTCGCCACGCTCAAAGTGCACGGTGAGTCCTTAACCCATTTCAGTGAGGAGGGCTATTTTTAGCCTTTTAGAAAAATAAGAGAAAAGTTGGTAATTAAAGCTTTAGTTTAAAAAATTTTACATTTTTTTCTATCCAATCTGGAATGTTTTAAACTTGTATTTGGTATTGTATTAAAAAATATTTGTTACACATTTACCTATTTATTTTATTATTATTACTATAATAATTTTGTTTCATTTGTAGAATTTGTTCCTTCGTTTTTAATGATTTTGTGTGCTTTCAATTTATTGATTTCCTGGCAAATTATTATTCCCCACTCTTAGCTATAAAAAAACCCAATTTCTCTCCAGGGTTAATGGTTAGAAAAAGGGCCTTAACCGCCGCCCAATCCAAGCACCTCCAATCAATGTGTCATGTCCAATTTGCCGGAATGTGACTAGGGTTGGGTTTTGGGTTCAGAACTCTTATTGGTTTGAGGTTTTTGATTAAATTGCCGCTTATCATTTCCCCTGTTGGCCATTTCCATTGCAGTCAAGCCGTACATCATTCGAGGACCGCATGATCAAACGGTTTTGGAGGGAGCCTCGGTGACTTTTCCCTGTCGAGTGGGTGGTGACCCCATGCCGGATGTCCTGTGGTTGAGAACGGCCTCGGGTGGAAATATGCCATTGGGTGAGTTAATAAATTCTATTTTTATAAGTACCTTCTTTTAAAACTATAATTATTATTCTTAAATATTTCTCTATACTCAAAGATCGCGTGAGTGTTTTAGAAGATCGAAGCTTAAGACTGGAGAGGGTCACCATTGAAGACGAAGGTGAATACAGTTGCGAGGCGGACAATGTTGTGGGAGCCATCACTGCAATGGGAACCCTCACTGTGTACGGTAAGTTCTCAGGGAAGATCCAATAAGCCGATTATAGAGAACCGCTAGTTGGGCACTGTTAGCTAATTAGTTTACCCGTCCTCCTACTCCCCGCACTCACACTGTAGCCCCCCGAAATTCATCCAACGTCCTGCGAGCAAGTCCGTGGAACTTGGCGCCGATACCTCGTTCGAATGCCGAGCCACTGGAAACCCAAAGCCCACCATCTTCTGGACCATCAAGAACAACAGTACTCTGATATTCCCGGGAGCACCGCCCTTGGATCGATTTCATAGTTTAAACACTGAAGAAGGTCATTCGATACTCACGCTGACCAGATTCCAAAGAACGGATAAGGATCTGGTGATACTGTGCAATGCCATGAATGAGGTGTCCAGTATTACTTCGAGGGTTCAACTGAGTCTGGATTCCCAGGAGGACCGTCCACCGCCTATTATAATATCGGGTCCAGTCAATCAAACGCTGCCCATCAAATCGTTGGCCACTCTCCAGTGCAAAGCTATCGGTTTACCCAGTCCTACGATTTCCTGGTACCGAGATGGAATCCCCGTGCAACCGAGTTCCAAGTTGAACATCACAACTTCGGGGGATCTGATAATATCGGACCTCGATCGGCAGCAGGATCAGGGCTTATACACCTGTGTGGCTAGTTCTCGGGCTGGGAAATCCACTTGGAGTGGCTTTCTCAGGATAGAACTGCCCACCAATCCGAATATTAAATTCTACAGAGCCCCGGAGCAAAGTAAATGTCCCACAGCTCCCGGACAACCGAAAATTCTGAACGCCACAGCCTCGGCTTTAACGATTGTCTGGCCAACAAGTGACAAGGCGGGAGCTTCAGCTTTTCTGGGATACAGTGTGGAAATGTACTGCACAAATCAGAGCAAAACTTGGATACCCATTGCATCGCGATTGAGTGAACCTATTTTCACAGTGGAGAGTTTAACTCAAGGAGCTGCTTACATGTTTATTGTTCGCGCGGAAAACTCGCTGGGCTTTTCACCACCCTCTCCCATTTCGGAGCCCATAACTGCTGGAAAACTTGTGGGTGTTCGAGATGGAAGTGAGAACTCCGGAACCTCTCAATTACTTCTCAGCGATGTGGAAACCCTGCTGCAGGCCAACGATATTGTGGAAATACTGGAGGCCAATGCCAGTGACTCGACCACCGTTCGACTTTCTTGGGACATAGACAGCGGTCAGTACATCGAGGGTTTCTATCTTTATGCGAGGGAGCTGCACTCCAGCGAGTACAAGATGATCACTCTACTCAACAAGGGCCAGGGACTCAGTTCCTGTACGGTGCCTGGATTGGCAAAGGCCTCCACATACGAGTTTTTTCTTGTGCCATTTTACAAGAGCATCGTAGGCAAGCCGTCGAACTCGAAGCGCGTGAGAACTTTGGAAGATGGTAAGGGTTTAGCTAAGCCAATAATTCCTTATCTAAATATAGTTTTATAAAATCTTTTATTAACTGATTTATTGTATTTATTTGATGATCATTTACTTCACAGTTCCGGAAGCGCCGCCTTATGGAATGGAAGCTATTCAATTTAATCGCACCTCTGTGTTTCTGAAGTGGTTACCACCTCAACCAAATCGGACTCGAAATGGTTCGTATAAATATAATATATTAATATGTGGTTTATCTTGAGTAAGAAAATAGGTTTTTTTTTAAGAAGAAAAGATGCATTTCTTTAGACTTATTTGTGTTTTTTTACATAAATAGAAACCATTTAGATAGTCCCGATAAATATACCAATTACAATCCTGCATTCCCAAAAACTCCCGATTACCAAGTTAACCGCCAGTCAGTTCCTTTGTGTAAATAAAGCGACTCGATGCGGATGAATTCTCTGCGCCATTGTTTACATTTAATTTCATTTGCTCTCTGTCCAACCGCCCGAAAATCTCCATCGAACAGGCATCCTCACCAGCTACAATGTGGTCGTCAAAGGCCTGGACGTGCACAATACGACGCGGATATTCAAAAATATGACCATAGATGCGGCCACGCCCACCCTCCTGTTGGCCAACCTCACCACGGGAGTCACCTACTACATCGCGGTGGCCGCAGCCACGCGGATTGGAGTCGGACCCTTCAGCAAGCCCGCCGTTCTCCGCATCGATGCACGCACCCAATCCCTGGACACTGGTTACACGAGGTGAGAGGGGTGCACTGCGAGAAAAATAGTTTATTTTTTGAAAAACATACCTCATTTTATAAAATTTTTAAATCTTAAAGTACAATTTTTTTTTTAATTTTTAAACATCTTTTAAAAATTATTAAATCACATTTTACTAACAAATTCTTTGTCCGTATTTAGCAACAATATTTATAAGTAAGATTCCATTGCATAATTTTTATTGGGAAGTTCTCATTTTGCCAATAAATATTTATTTGTATTGCAGATATAATTTCTTTTTCAATTTATATTTTCATAAATATACATATACATATTTTGTATACCCTTATTTTGATCAAGTGTAAGTCCCTTTTGTGTGGGTGGGCGTTGCTGTTGGGCATTGTGGAGCTGCTCATTTGACTGCCAAGTGTCGCATCGAGGTCCACATCAATCCATTAACGGCCAACGACAATGGCCAACGACTTTTGCGACCATTAAACTAAGCCTCCACCAGGGCACGTACACCAGGGCTCCATCCTCCATTCTCCATCAGCCATCCTCCGATAGCCGTTCTCATTCCGGGTTCTTTATTGTGTTGTCTATTGCAGATATCCCATCAGTCGTGATATTGCCGATGACTTTTTAACACAGACCTGGTTTATCGTCCTGCTGGGCTCCATCATTGCCATAATTGTGTTTCTATTGGGCGCATTGGTTCTATTCAAGCGCTATCAATTTATCAAGCAGACCTCGCTGGGCAGTTTACATGGTGAGTGAACTTTAATTTAAATTTATACTTATTCTCCCTTTTGTGCAGTTTCTTTTTTGGGGGGTAGCTTCGTAATTGCTTGTTCTTTTTCGTGTAAGGATTTATGGGTGAATTGAGGTTTAATTTAGTCAAAAAATAGGGGAAGCTTGCTGTGAGTTTGTGAGAGAACTAAGATAAATAAATTCCCTAGTTATTAAAGAACATTTTTAACAGAAAACAGATACATTTATATTTATTCCAAGTAAGGAAAATGAAGTCTGCATTTTACTCCCTTGGCTACTTCATCTGGAAGTACATCCCACTTTTATGGGACAATCTCCATTCCGATCCGGGACATGCAAGCATTTTGCTCCACTTCCCCCTCTGCGTAATCTATGATTTATGACCTGAGCATTTATGGCCGGTCTCAATTAGGTTGCCATTTTGTAAGCCACAATAACTGCAGACATCGAGACACGCACTCATAACATTGTAAAGACTACAAGAACCGAAAACCCAGGGTAATAATCTTTGGCAGTAAGCCACAGCGCCAAGGTTAAACCGACTATAAAAAGATAAACAAGCCACGATAACTAGACCAAAAGTGGGGGAGTCTTCAGGGTAGGAAAAGCGCAGTGGAAAGGCGGATGTATATAGTAAATAAAAACGACAAACGCTCACGTGAAAATCACATCAATTGTCTGGCGGAAAACTCTAAAAATAGTAAGAAAATAAAAGTTTGCTAGCTGCGTGCTAAAAGTTTGGCATACCCTATAAAATTTGGCAGGAGATCTTATGAATAATTATGATAAAAATATAAAAATAAGAAAAAGACTTCGTAAAGAGTTGTTCAGCCAGTGTATGGATAAAACTTGGATCTTAAGGAAGAAATAATAATTAAATGGACTCCAAATACCCATCCACTTTAACAACTGCAGGGCATTAACAATCCCGTTGGAAAAGGGCGTGCAAAAGCTTTTGCCAATTGAATATAAAAAGTAATTTCCGTCTTTTATTATTTGCACGTTACTCCGCCGGTGGAGCGAAAAATCCCGGGGCAGCTGGCTCTCCGTTTTAGTTTTAACGAGCCGTAATCATTGCCAGCCCCACATAGAAGCCATTTCGATATATTCAGTCTCCCCGTATGTGCTTTTTTATTTCAGGCAATCACGCAATCGGAACCGTGCGAAAGTTCCCAACATTGCCGCTAAATGGAGGCGGTGCCGTCGGTGCCGTTGGCTCCAATTCGACAGCCGCAAGTGGGCAGAATGGCCTCTGGATCGATCCCACCGGCGGCGTTTGGCGACAGGGAGCGGGAACTGGCGCTGGCAATTCCGGCGGAGCGGGGGCGAATGGCACATGTTCGACAAAGGAGCAACTTCCGGGATACGCACAGGCCACCGCCCAGCAAGGACAACAGCCAACTCTGCTGCCTGATTACGAGAGGTGAGTCGGCCGCTTTGTTTATCTGCCCGGGAAGTTGCCTTAATATCCTGTCCACGCCTCGCTGACTGTTTAATTACAATCAAAAATTGGCAAGCAGTCGGCTTACATGGCCAAGGGATATGGGTTTGGAGGTTCAAAGGAAGAGTGGTAAAAAATAGAGTTCACTTTAAAGTAAAACTTTAACAAATAAACATTAAAGTTAGCACTGAAATTCAGATGATTTGACTTGCAATCCAATTTTTCTTTGTGTAATGAAATCAGAAGTACTCCTTTCTCCTGTAAGTAAAAGATCCATAGCACTATTTACGAGCCGGGTCGTAAAAGATATTCTGTGGAGCTGCAACCGCTGCCACCATAAAGATTCCCCAACCAAAACCGAGCCACCCTCGCAGTGGTAAAACCCTCTTCTCCATCCGAAAAGCCACCGCAGCAACAACAAACGCCATTAAATTGTTACACTTGAACGGGTTTTACTTTGGGCCATGGTAACTTGCCCCGGCATCAAAATGTTTACGTTGGCAGGAGGGCGAAATGCAGCCGTTATTTAATTTCCATATACGCAACTCATTCATATTTCCCCGGGCTGTTTTATCTCCCTGGTTTATTTCGCTCTGGTTTTACATTTTCTTTCTGGCGGTTTTCTTTAAAGGCTAATGAATTTTTCTTTGGGCAAAATGAATTTCACATGCACTCTGTTAAATAAAAATCCGTTTTAAAGTTTATATGGATACAAATTTAATTCTGTGAAGATTTAATTTAGCAACAAAGTTCGCTTAGTTAATTGCCATCTCTAATCAAAAACTGCCACTCAAACTTGTTTATCCGAAAAATATGTTCTTTAATTTGTCAATCTCCACCAACATCCAAGAGTATTAAGCTGTCACTGAACTCTTAGAAGCTTCTAAACCTTCAATCCCGATATCAAATTCTGACTTTCAGCTAAATAAATCTTTCTCAGTTTGTCAAATGACTCTTGAAAATTCTGATGAAAGTTTTTCCGAGCTTAAAAAATTCGCCCTTTATCGCTTTAATTCCATTGAGCCTAATCCCTGGGCCATGTTCAAGCTGGCCATTTGTGCTTTCCCTTCCTTTGGGCTTTCTTCTTACTTCTTACTTAGGAATTTATATAGAAAAACAAATTTTCTTTTGTGTTTCTCTTTTCTTTCCTTAAAGCTTAATGTACCGTTGCGGCAACAATAATAAAACAAAAGCAGTAATGCAAAAAATAAAACAAAATCCAAACAAGAGGCAATAAAAAAGTGGCAACTGTTGGCGACATATTGCCGTCTCGCTCTTTTTACACCTGTCTCACTCTGGCAAGCCGGAAAACTTTCGCGTATTTATTTGCGGCATTTTACGCATTTATTTGTTTAGACTTCCTTTCTGCGCTGTTTGAATGAAAAATCCGCCCACCTTTAACCCTCCCCCATCGCTTTCCACTTCACTTACAATTTGGAACATTTCCTACCACCCTCGCATAGCTCCAACCCCCACCCCCCTCCCACCCATTTCCCACCCCCCATTACCGTTGCCACTTCCGTTACGCGATTTTCATTATTTCCGTTTCCATTTTTCCGTTGTATTCCTGCGAGCGCCGAACTTTTCCTTCTGCTGCTCACTTTTAACAACGTTGTAAAGTCGTAAAAAGTATAACATAAGCACAGGAATACCAAATTCCCAAACAGGATCTTCTTTTATTCTCCTTGTTTACATAAACACTCCCACTCCCATCGAAATTCCCCCTGAAACACGTGCGTCATTACCTAAAATTTCCAATTAAAATATTTAATTTCTTTCGCGGGTTGTTGTCTGATTCGAGGAGTTCTTGCCAACCATCCCCCGTTGGAAAAACGCAATTTTCACCGCTAAATTAACAATTAAAAATTGATAGTCCTCGGGGAAAAAGCGCAAACTCTTCAGATCTGCATATTTTGATATTTCCCGAGTGTCCTTAAGGCCACAGCTTAATAGCTGGAAAAATTCAAATTACTTGGCGTATTCTCAGGCGTCTGACGGAATGTGCTTTTTAATTGGGTCAACCGTATTGGTTTGAAGATTTTAACATATTTAAATTAAGTACCAAAATGAGTGTACCGCTGTACTTGAAAATCTGTTAAGTCATTAGCTTTTTTACAAATTCCTTTAATCTTTAGTTCCTTAACTATTCAAACCACCGTGAAATGGCCAAAACTATTTGCATTTTCCTGCACCCTCCAGAAACATTTCAGTAAATTTTAACGAGAACTCATTGGCAAAAAGCAAAGCGATAGATAAGCATTATCTCATTAGCTAATTAGTGTGTAAAAATTTGCGCAATAAAAAAGTTTTTCCGCTGCTTTTCACTCTGCGTCTGACTCGGGGAACGTTAATTTTTTGTGTTGGCAGGAACTCGCATGGATAAAAGTTTGATTTGAATGGAAGTCCAGCTTTTTCCCACTCCCCCATTTCGGATCCTTCGCGTCTTTTTCCACCTCTCCATTTCCTGCGCGGCTCCATTTTAATTCATGAACCTCCTGCAGAACTCCCTCTAATTACAAAGTTGAATTGCTAATGGGGGAATTTCTGTATTGTATTTGCCATATTTAACCAAATTGCAATTGCCACGGTTGGCGGCATACAAAGGGAAATTGCAACAAAATTTTTAATGACTAGGTGTGAGATGGGAACAATTTCCGGAGTTGCATTCAGTTCCTAACAAAAGCAATTTCCTCCCATCAACAACAACATCGGATGATTTATGAAATCGTTGATGTGAACCCCAGACAGGCATAAATACACAGAAAATTATGTGCACTCGAAATAAATCAACATGAAAAATAGATATAAAAAATAATATATTTATGAAGGCAAAAAGGAAAGGATTTTTTTTAAAACCGAATAAATTTTTTTATCACATTTAATTAAACGATAAATATTTTCCTAAGTGTTTGTATTCACATCCATTTCTGTACTGAATCAATTTTCATCTGGGGACTTTCCACCTCTTTCCGATTGCAGACTGTCACCACTGAATATGCCCGATTATGCGGAAGTCGCCTGCTCCACATTCAAAAGTCCCACCCACGGCGCACCACCGATGGGTGGTGGTGCGCACTCGGCCTCCCTGTACGATAGCTGCGGGGCCTATGCCACCACCAATGTGGTGGCCAATGTCAAGCTCTACCAGAATCGCTATGCGACGAAACCCGGCCAGAATAGCAGCAACAACAACAACCACCAGGGCAACGATTACCAGTCCACCGGGATGTACTCCGCACCACCGAGTGCCCACTACGGATGCCTCGAGCCGAAGCAACAGCAACAGCAGCCTAATCTGATGACCACTTCGACGGCGAGTACAGCGATTTTGACAGCCTCGCCTGCGAAGTCCAAGAAGATCAACATAACCGAGAACAAAATGGATCAGCTGGAAGGAAAGTCGGAGCGAACGAATCCCTTCAACCAGCAGCAGCAGCTCCTCCTGGCCAGCAATGCCCTGAAACAGGGACTCGGCGCCTATGCCAACACCACCTTGGCGGCTCAGATGGCCAGTGGTGGTGGGGCAGGAACCCTGAGGCGCCAGCGTCAGCCGAAAACGCTTTACAAAAGCGAGAACAACATATTGGGAAAGTCCGGTCTGAGGCAGGGTAACATGAATGCTAATGCAAATGGTTGCAGCAACGGAACCATGGACTTTCTGACCGGAGGTCCTCCTTCGGAAGGCGGGGACTTCTCCGGCTTGGGCTTGTGCAACTCCACCAACCAATTGCTCAACGATTGGGCCTCCAGCGCCTCGATCGCCGCTCCCGGGGACTATCATTTCGGCAGCAAGCAGCCCAGCAAACAGCATCTGTATGTGAAGGCCAAGGATGGAACTTGGTCGGCGGTGAGCTCGGATGCCTACCAGTCCTTCAAGCACCAGCAGCAGCATCATCCCTTCCTGGCAGGATCAGGTGACAACAACAAGTCCTTAGCTAGTGTAAACAGCTTAGCTGCCGATAGCAAATTCCTGAGTAGTTTTGGTTCCAGCGCCAATGTCTAGGCCATGGCTTCAGATTCAACCTAATGCTTGGGTCAATAGAGAGTTGCTCAATAAGTTAGAGGTTCAGTTGTGACATTTCCCCAAAGGATTGCATTAAGGAGATAAAGAGAAGGATTATATCAGTTGGTTGGTGGAAGTTGGGTTGTGGAATGTTGTAAGGGTTTTTTAGGGGCTTCTATTTGATTTCTAATTGCTTAGGATAAACAAAAATATTTATTTATTAACTCTTCTAAGCGCTTTCCATATTTCATATCAATAGTTTTCTTTGATTTAGTGATCTATATTTCCCCTAGATCGATATCCTTCAATTCTAGAAAAACCCTTTTATTATTAGACCTATAATATCCAACCCATAGCCCATCTCAACTTCCACCAGAACTCACTGATAGTTCCCAAAGGTAGTCTCCAAACCAAAAAATCAACAACGAAATGTATGTAAAGAAATACAGAATGATTGGCTTGTAAATATAATGCCCCCAACTATATCCTATATATAAAACCTTAACCCTAAAGCATTTAAAATATTGCATTTGGAGCAAGAAAAAAGTAATATTAATTTAAAACAGAAACCGACTCAAAATAGCACGCAAGTAGCTAAAGTAAGTACGCAAGAGAAATCTCTGAAAGTTTGTAGAAAAGCATTACGAACTTTTGCAGAAAATGTTCCCACGGATAAGAAACCAATGTTGAAGCCAAACGAGAATACCCAACCCTAACGAGAAATATTACTTAGAGTTATTTGAACAGAGCACGATGCAATTAGTTGTGTGTTGATAAAAGAATAGAACTCACCTCCCGCAAAAAGCTAAGTAAATGCTAATAATAAGGCTGTTAAATGTAAAATATCATAAATGATTCAAGAGCGAACGACTAAATCTACATTTAAACCATGTAATTAAAGCATTAAAATGTAATTAACTGACACAAGACTTAGTTCGAATAGCTAAAAAAGAGAAAAAAACGAAAGTGAACGGATTACAGCAAATATGGGGATTTAGCTGAAAAAAGAACAAATAATATTAAACTAATCAATTAATTGATAAATTATGCAATGAGAAAACCTAAAAATAAAAATAAAAGAAATACAAAAGTAATCCGAAAATATGCAGTGCGTTTCGTAACCATATGACAAGCTTTCTTATATTTACGAAACGCACTTTTTTTATTTACTTATTAAACGAGGTTTATCGAAGGGTTTTTTATATTGTATATAGCTTCCTTAGTGCTTTCAAAATAGCCATTTAGTTTGGTTAATGGTAGTAATACCTATCCCAAAAATTATAGTTATGAATCGTACCTTTGTTAGCCGCACAGCAAAATTTTTGTGGGCAAATCCCGCTCTAATGTGTGCGCAATTTTCCATTTCAGCAAGGACTATTTGGCGACGGCACAGTTGTGCATACATGGTGCTGGACAATTCAATGGATTTTGTGATTTGAATTCATTTTCTGGGCCTGGATTGGGTGGAAAATTCAGGTAAACCCAACTATTCTGCGGCCTGCCCACAAAACTTTCCACAAAACTGATTCCCGGGGAGCGGCAGATTTTCCACCGATGGCCAGCTAATTAATTATGCACTTTGTCCGCCTGGCCGAAAGCCCAATTTGTCCTACAAAATCATTAATGTAGGGATCCCTAATGAGACATTGTTTTTGTCCCCGGAACCTCCGCACTTGCATCCGTTAAATGTATAACATTTGCAATTGCAAATTCATGATAAACAATATTATTTCAGTTTCCTGGCTCTTTTTGTTTGCCATTGATTTTTTGTTTCTCGATTTTGGATTGCAGGCATTGTTGCAAATTGTTATTGACAGTTTATGTATGTCTGTTTTTGTTTTCCATATTCAAGCTCTTTGAATTTACATCCAAACCAGGCTTTATAACAAATACATATATATTTAAATGTTTGCATGGAGAGAAGTCAAATGAAATGAAAATCAATTTGATTTAATGAAGCGTAATAGCATTGGAAGTTTTTTCTTACTTAGTTTCGGGTATGTGCTTTCAGAAGATAGTGGGAATTATTTTGAAATAAATGCAGATAAATAGTCATAAGAAGGATGTTATTAAATAAACTATAGTATGAACTTTATTTACGGTGAAGCAAACAGATTTATTTTAAAGGTTCCGATTAAATAAGAATGTTAGGAGTTGGTTAGGTGTTGGCTTATTATAACTTTATTTTTGGTTTACAGGTTACGTATAGGATTGGTGGGGCACCCAAATTCAGTCCAGAACTAAACGAATTTGGAATCCCCAATTCGGTTTCTATTTTCCAATTCCAATTGAAGGCTTTAACTGCACTGCCGGCTTATTACCCTCGGATGAACTTTAAGCTTTTGCCGCTCGAGCAGCACCAGCTGCAGTGAATGCCCAGGCTAATGTATCAGTGACCGGGCCCACACCATTAACTCCGACACCCCCGAATGAATGCCCGGCGATTTCGCCACCCGATTTCCCCGCCCGATCTGATTCCCCATGGCACATCCTACGCACATCCCACTCCCAACTGACAAAGCAGCTAGCCAAGCCGAAACTACAAATAGCCTTAGTGTCCGAAACACTCGCTCCCGATTGCCACTGGCCACTGGCCGTGCCGATAAATAAGCCCGAATTTATCATGAACATGGAGCAAACATCCCCACATTCCCGGGCAGCGGGGCAGTGGAGTCTGTCCCATATATCGTGGGACTATAATAGCAATGGCAGGCTCATAATTTTTGGCACCAAATTGCCCGATAGGCGTTGAAGCGTTCAATTGAATGTCGTCTAGCCGAAGACCTTTCCTTCGTCCAGCCACACCCGCTCCCAGCCAACTATTGTATAATCAAAACTAATGGTCTATAAAGAATCAATTCTCAATTTGTTTAGCCAGCTGCTGCCCGATCCGAGCCGAGGACCAAACAGGACAACGACGCAGGATAATGCTGTAAAACGCTCTCTCCCATTTCGCCAACTAAAAAGTTTCCTTTTCCCTCGTTACAAGCTCTTTGTGCGTGCAACACATGTGACAAATAAAATTTAAATGCATTTTGTAAATAATACTATATTGGAAGTTGTTATTGTTTGGGCGGCATCAATAAGTGGGCTTACAGTAAGTATTAAGGCTTTAAAAGGAATTTATAAATAAATATAGTAAAAAATTACTTTTACGATAAATTTATTTTCAGTATCCGTTTCCATGCTTAAAATATGATTTCCGAATCGCAAATTCCTGAAACCCACAGTAAATGAATACAAATAGCTGCCTTATTAGGGATATTTGCACAAAATTAGTTTCCACAAATTTGATGCATCGTAAAAACATTGCAGCTGCGATGTGGCGGGTGGCATTTTTGATTTGATTGTATTTAGGCAGTCGAGTGTGCGAGCTGTTTGTGGGGGAGTGGCAGGACAAAGGGGGCGGCGAAGCACTGATTCAGCAAATTTGCCATAAAGTTTAATCAGCAGCTTTTGGCAGCATCGCAAAAAAGCTCGTAAAAGACCAGAGACACACTCACATGCGGGGACAAAGTTTTATGCGCATTTGAGTGACCATAAAAATGCTCCATGGACTCCGCTGAAGTGTCCTGTGTCCTGCTAGTGCTGCAAAACAGAAGGATAACACAAAACAGAAATGAGGACAAGTCCTGCGGAAGCCGTTCTTTTTCCACTGCCTTTCGATAAGGAAATTATGCTGGGGCAATTCGATGAGATTAGCCAAGAACATTTCGCGGCCACAGATACTAAAATCAGATATCATAATAATAAAATCTAATGCAAAGATAAGTTGTTTTGAATCGTAGAATACTATTTGCTGCATATGGTATACCAAAAAAACTATTCTGTACTGCCAATAAAATACAATAAGACCCACTATCGTTTTTAAATGTTTTAGCCAATGCTTCCTGAAAATCAAAGCTTTGAACTGAACGCCAAACAAGTCACGTTTAAATGGTTATCATGTTCTTTTTCCCTCAATTCCTTTCTATAAAATAAGTGACCTTTGCTTTTGTTTTTGAACCCACACCTCTTAACTTTTTAGCACACAGCATGTAAAGCGGAGATATTTGGTAAATTGCCTTTCGGTGCCTGTGCAAAACCAATTTCATTTAGACTCCCCAACAACTGCAAAAATGTTAGTGCTGCAGACAGAGAATACAAACAATTTCCAGGAATGTTGGTGAAAGGAGAAAAAAAAACGGTTCAAATCTAGTGGGGAATTTCGTTTATTGTAGGGCTGAGCAAACATTTTAATTTGTCCATTATGTTATTTTTGATTTTTCGGCTTTTCCCTGCTATGTATTTCTTGCCTCACACACAGTCGCAGCTTAATTGAAAATGGTCTTTGCAGCTCAGCATGGGGAGCCCTCAAGGGTTGATTACACATTTCTCTTTCACTTTCTCCCCAGAAGTCGAGTCCTGGTACGTACACACACTAATTAAATGCCCCCGACAGAAAGTTTTGGCAACTAAATGAAATGCTGGCCGTGGTTTCGGCTTTAAATGGCTAAACTTACATGTCGAGTTAGTCAAAAAGTTTAATTTTCCCCTCCCCGAAACGGTCAGTTTCAACTTGGACGTCTTGTTCTTGGGTAGTTCTGGTCCGGCTTTTGCCTTCGGTGAGTAATTAGTAAAATGCATTAAAATAAATGAGCTCGAGGAGCGGCAGACAAATGGAAGTCACCCGGAGTAAAGTTACCTGTTTTGAGTGACTGCTCTGGGAACTTGGTAGTTGCAGATATTAAATTTAGTTAGCATGCCTTTTAATTATTAAAGTGAAGATGTGTTGGGGTTGTTTAATTTATGATCTAGTTAACTAACGCAATTAAGGTGAGCATGAGAGATTCTGTTGACAGTGTTTATTTTTCACTTTGTTTAAATCTCTTTAATTCAAAAAGCTTACAAGCCGAATGGCAGGTACACAATAAATGATTTTATGACACAACTTTTTACAACTCGTTTATTCAATCAACACATTACGTTCTGCCAGAACAAAGGCTGGAAAATATATCCTCCTCGTTGCCCAAAAGGACATGACAACCTGGACATTTTGAAGGCAGAAAGAAGGAAGGACAAAAGCGGAGACAAAGCGCGAGACATTTCAACAGGCCATAAAATACATTTTGGACGCCTTTTGTGAGTCCTTTGCCGCGGGCCTTTGGCGTTGTAATTCCTTGAATGTGTCAGTCGTCGTCGAGGACGTTGTCATCCTCCTTGGCTCCTTCTTTCTTCCCGCTCTGCGTCTATTCTAATTGCGAAATATGGCGACAATTTCAAAGAAGTTAAGGACATTGACGCCCCTCAGACTCGCTGCCAGGGGATAATACGATTTCGAATGACATTTTCGGGCCAGAGCCGTAATAAATATCCAGAAAAGGAGGGAGGGGTCACCACCCCCCTTGAACTGAACAGATCCCTGCTCGTTATGTAATGGATACTTAGTGGCCGTAAAGAAGGAGGGCTCCCAGCACAAAAATGCAAACAAAACTATTAAATGAGCATAAAAAAAGAAAGAAGAATATACGAAAGGTCATTCGAATTTAAGTTAGTCTGAAATACTAAAAATTTAATAGATGAAGAAATGTGTTAGATTTTTTTGAGTGATGGTATTATTAAACTAAATATTTTTAACTAAAGATGTTCAAAAATAAATATATTTAAAATAATATAAAATACCCTTTGTTTTCGTACTTAAATTTAAAAATAGAAAGGTAAAGAAAGTACAGAAGGCCAAATCTAAAACTGAAACCCGAGCCAAGGGAAACCCTTGTGGCCTTTCCCTTCTCCCCCTTGTTTTTCCCCAGTGTATGGCCCCACTTTATGAAACGTTTTATTATACTAATTTGTAGGATGGCAATGGTCGAAATGGTAGCCAGTTTCGGTTACATCGAATGGCCAACTAAAAATGGCAATTTGCCATTGCATGAAATGAGCGTGGCCCACACGGATTGCACTGCCAACTGGGGTGGATCCCAAACTAACACACATACAAATACACACACATACAAACACTCACACTGAGGAGCACCAGGACACTTCCCCAGCGGGAAAGTGGGAAGGAGGTTTTTAGAGTACTTGAAAACCTGCTTCTTTTAGCAGGCGTACGGGTAGGAGTAGA